ACAGAAAACAGAGTATTTTCATGACCACAGATTGAGCAAAAATTTCATAAATAGGCTAGGTGCACTGGCTCACACCTGTAATTTCAGCAGTGTAAAAGGCCAAAGTGGGAGGGTCACTTGAAGTCAGGAGTTCAAGGCTAGCCTGGGCAAGACAGCAAGACCCCATCTCTTAAAAATTTTTTTTTTTATTAGCTAGTGGTGGCACACACCTGTAATCTCAGCTACAGGGAGGTTGAGGCAGGAGGATTGTTTGAGCCCAGAAGTTAGAGATTACCCTGAGCTATGATTGCATCACTGCACTCTAGCCTGGGCAACAAAACAAGACCTGATTTTTGAAAAAAAAAAAAATAATAATAATAATAATAATCACAGAAAGGTAATTAAATTCAACGTCATTAAAATTAAGGGCTTCTGTTCACCAAAAGACACCATTAAGAAAGTGAAAAGGCAAGTCACAACGAAGTTTTTTTGTTTTTGTTTTTTTGCAATCAAGAGTCTTGCTTTGTCGCCCATGCTAGACTGCAACCTCTACCTCCCAGGTTCAAGAGATTCTCCTGCCTCGGCCTCTCCAGTAGCTGTGACTTACAGGTGTGCGCCACTATGCCCAGCTAGTTTTTGAGTTTTTAATGGAGATGGGGTTTCACCATGTCAGCCAGGCTGGTCTCAAACTCCCGACTTTGGGTGACCTGCCCACTTCAGCCCCCTCAAAGTGCTGGGATTACAGGCGTGAGCCACCATATCCAGCTTAGGATAAGATATTTTTATTATGTATATTTGACAAAAAACTCCTACTCAAAATAAAAATCCCATAAATCAATAAGATAATCCAATTTTTTTAAATGTGCAAATGACAGATGCTTCACAATAGAGAATATTCCGGTAACTAATATGTACAACTAAAAAGTGCTCATCATCCATCAAGAAAATGCAAACTAAAATTACCAAGCCCACCAGAATGACTAAAATGAAAGATCAGACCACGTGTTGATAAGAATGCAGAGCAAATACTAACACTCATATGTTGCTGTGGGAGTGCAAACTGGTACAACCAGCCTAGAAAATTCATTGACAGTATCTGCTGAAGTTGAACACACATCTGACTATAAATGGTAATAAAATGCACATGTATAAAAGTTTCTGGAGTGTTTTAGGTGTTCTACCTAGTTCCAAGTGGCAGTTACACAGGTGTCTTCCCACTATAAACATTCAAACTGAACCCTTCATTTGTGTACTGTTGAAAGTATGTTATGTATTACACTTCAAAGAAACTATTTTAAAACCTTAATGACTTAGAGTTAATAAACAAATGAGAAAACAAGATTAAGATAAACATTCAAGTCATTAGAAATGATATCTCTAATCCTTTTATGACTGATGACTATGTTATACTTTCCATACTTTCCATAGTAGATAGTTCCCTTCTACTAGCAAATCCATGATGTAATGTGTTCTCCTACAATGTTTTGCTTTAAAGTTGTAATTGAACTTTTCTTCTATGCCAAGAAGCCAGGTTCAGCAGTCTGCATAACTATAATTAGGATAAAAATGTATAATATAATGACTAGCTATCAAAATATGTAGAGAGAGACCATGCAAAAAATATACAAATGCTCCTTACTTATGATGAGGTTACCTCCTGATAAACCCACAGTAAATCAAAAAATATTTTAAGTCAAAAATGTATTTAATATATCTAACCTACTGAACATCATAGCTAAGCCTAAACTAACTTAAACATGCTCAGAACATTTACATTAGCCTACTGCTGGACAAAAGCCTCCAACAAAAAGCCTATTTTATAATAAAATAATGACTATCTCATGCTGATTTACTAAGCACTGTACTGAAAATGAAAAATACTGTACTGAAAATGAAAAATAGAATGGTTGTATGCGTACCTGAAGTACAGTTTCTACTGAATACATATTACTTTTGCATCATAGTAAAGTAAAAAAAAAAAATCATTAAATCAAACCACCGTAAGTCAGGGACTGTATACATATTAAAGAAACAAGCCATTAACCTAAAGAAAATTCGTATCTTTAACAATTCTCTAATAATAGTTAACGTTCCACCTTTAATTCTATGCACATTATCATTAGATGAATTCAAACTATATCCCAAGCAGAAATAGGATAGTATTTAATTAATTAGGACCCAGAAAAATATGGTAATGGTAACAAGCTTGTTCAGTAATTCTCATTCTGTGACAATGGTTAGGAGTAGGATCTATGAAAAATGAAACAGAAAAGTAGAGAAACAAGCATATTTTTTAAAAGTCTTAAGTTTGTAAGTTCAATTACTAATCAGCCACCCTTGCTTCCTTTCTAAATACATTCATCTCCTTTCCTGCTTTCATCTCAATATATACTAAAAGATACAGCTTGGGATTTATCTACCTAATATTGTATAAATTATCTCTTAACTTTTTAAATTTAAACTAAATTCCAGGTTCTTATTCATTATGCAAAAGTACAACCTTAAATATTTAATTATAATTTACTTTTCCTGCAAAACAATCATTTATTTATTTTTATTTACATATATTTTTTGAGACATAGTCTCACTGTTGCCCAGACTGGAGTGCAGTGGCATAAGTTCGGCTCTCTGCTACCTCTACCTCCCAGGATTAAGTGTTTTTCCTGCATCAGCCTCCCCAGCAACTGAGATTACTGGCATCCACCACCATGCCTGGCTAATTTTTGTGTTTTTAGTAGAGATGGGGTTTTGCCACGTTGGCCAGGCTGATCTCGGCCTCCTGATCCACCCACCTCAGCCTCCCAAAGTGCTGGGATTACAGGATTGAGCCACTGTGCCCAGTCAAAACAATCATTTATAACTATATACTTTATATAACCAGTAAAACAAAATGAATTTTAGGAGACATGTAAAATTTTGTTCTGTCTTATTTTTTTTGAGATGGAATTTTGTTCATGTTGCCCAGGCTGGAGTGCAATGGTGAGGTCTCAGTTCACTGCAACCTCTGCCTACGGGGTTCAGGTGATTCTCCTACTTCCGCCTCCCAAGTAGCTGGGATTACAGGCATGCATCACCACGCCTGGCTAATTCTGTACATCTTTCTTTTTTTTTTTTTTTTTTTTTAGTAGCGAAAGGGTTTCTCCATGTTGATCAGGCTGGTCTCCAACTCCTGACTTCAGGTAATCTGCCTGCCTCGGCCTCCCAAAGAGCTGGGATTACAGGCGTGAGCCACTGTGCCGGGTCACAGACAAGTAAAATTTAATTGGACAAAGTAGTAGAAAAGTGCTGCCGGGCCATTTCCTACAAACCAATAATGCACACTTTCTCATCACTACCTACCATATTTATCCCCAAAATTATGAATTAATCCTATCTAAAAGGTAATCCTATCTAAAATCCTAACAAAGAAGACATGTTTGCCTTAAACCATATTATAATATCCTAAGCCTGAAATATTCTAGTTGCTTCCAATATTATTCAAGGACATGTTTTATATGCACTCTGAAGTATTCAGACTTTAAAAAAAAGTCTTAATGACACTACAGTGCCATCTACTGGAAAACACAGATTATGTTACTTCTTTGGCAAAATTCACTACCATATTTTCTATCAAACAAATCCCAGGGTCATGTCTATAATGCTTTTCCATTAATTATATAACATGTAAAATTAACTACTAAGAGAAATCTGTTAACTACGTACATAACTGAATACTAATGTGATTACAAATGTGTACTACTCCATTTCCACCACAGAGGAAGAATGCATAAGACTCAGAAACTGGCCGGGCGCGGTGGCTCACGCCTGTAATTCCAGCACTTTGGGAGGCCGAGGCGGGTGGATCACGAGGTCAAGAGATCGAGACCATCCTGGTCAACATGGTGAAACCCCGTCTCTACTAAAAATGCAAAAAATCAGCTGGG